AATGTCACAATGAAATAGACAGGGGAGGGGGTTATACATGAAATGTCTTGAAATAACTCGTAGGGGTAGCAAGACAGACAAGTGCTTAACCCAGCACAGAAATCCAATTTGAGCTGGGAGCTTTGGTCTTGCTCTACTGAGCTGCAGAAGATTGGAAGGAAATGCAAAAAAAATATCTAACTTGAGGAAGGTCTATTTCTTTTAAAAAAATGAACCCAAAAAAATAATCTTTGAAACAGGATGGGTGTTGTGTCATTTCTCACTTTGGGGCTGGTTGGTTGCATCCTTTGGAACCCAGAAGAGTCTAAGTGTTATCCCTCTGCAAGTTTCCTTGACATATTCATTCCCATTCACATGAGCTTGGGAAGTTCATAGCAATAAAACAGATATGGAGGAAAATGGTGTATTCTAGGTAGAATTTGAAGAAAAGCTTAGCACTCACAATTTGGCCAGATTTTCAGAAGAGTTCAATACATTGAGTGGCTCTTTTGAAAACCTGGCCCTGCATTGCATCCGCTGAGCACTTGATAAACTAGCTTCATGCATCTGCAAAACCAGCTCCGAAGCCCACTGAAGTCATTGGAAAAACTTCCATTGACCTGGATAGGCTTTGAATCAGACTCCAATAGGCAGATGGTGGAAAAAGCACAAGTAACTGCTTACCAGAGTGTGAGGTGTGCCATATACAATTGGTGGTTAACACAAACCATTCATAATTCACCTTAATTTTTAATTTTCTTTCAAACTAAATATGATCAAAGTCAGTAAATTGTATCAACCTGTGACAGAAAAATATTTTCTTTTCTCCCCTCCCATCTCTGAGATTTTTTCTTCTCCTGACACCTGTTCCATTAAGAGAGCTCGGCTGTCCTACCTAACTATTGTGGTAATCTTGCTACCACTGACTTCAGTGGAAGTGAGGAGAGACCCTATGTTTGAAACATAGGAAATGTACTCGTTACTGCCTCAAACACCATGCTAGCAACAGCGGAGGTTGGGAGCCAGGTTTGGTAGCATCAGGGTGCACTAATGATGCGGGCAGGGATGCATGAAATGCATGCTACAGAGCCTTTATAGAGGGGTTTAGTCTGTAGCATGGTGCAAAACCCTAAACCTCTTTATGTAGCTTTATAGGTTTCTGCACTGGGAAGCAACAGGCATTTTTAAACACAGCTGCTAGCATCGTTTCAGCTGTAGCGTGGCAAAGGCCTAGCTCACACGTATAGACCCAAATCAGGGCTAACTTCCTCTTGTGTTTTTACCTTGATCAGAGGGACTCATTTTCCCAAGGAACAATTCAAACCCTCACTGCTGCAATGTGAAGAATGAAGCCGGCACCACATTTTGAGGTTGGCTGGGATTGTCAAAGGAGCACATGGGAATTAGATGCCCAAATCGCAAAGCACTTTGCAAAGGAGGGTAAGTATTATTATCCACCATATTCCAGAGCTGCAACTCCACTGACCACTCCAAGCAAATTCCTTTCCCCCTGAATCCTTAATCCAGGGCTTGCTCACTAACAATACATCAATTACCCTATTGTGTCTCCACAAAGCACCTGGCTCAGCGGGAAGCTCACAGAGTTGCACCCTGTGGTAGCATTTCTCATCATGCCGTCCCTACTGAAGTTACAGCCCCCTCTCATCTGTGCCACGCTGACAGCCACTTTCAAGAGAGTTGAGAGTACAATCCAAACCACCTTCAGGAATGCTCTTGAAATTAATTTGCTTTCACACTAGAGCTTGATTTATAACGGGACATCAAAGACATCCATCTAGCTAACAGTTGGGATTTTCACTCCTCACACAGCCCAGTTCTACTCTTGCTTACAACCTCGGAAATCTGGAGTGAGTTACTCCAGATTTGCACTGGTGTAACAGACTGGAATCTGGCACAGCGTATTCATGCTCAAAACAAGCACAACTGGAATTTGATCACACCCATTTTTTAAAATAAATAACTGCACTGGGATTTTTTTTTTAATTGAAAATAGACACAGTTGAAAGCCATTTTCAAGCCAGAGACAGACGTTGTCTCTGATGCAGAGTACAGATGCCTTTAGCTGGGTCAGTCATTTATTACAGCACTTATATAAAGGACTGATTCAACTCGACTCTGAACACCTGGTGCTCACTCATGGTGGGTTCTCTCAGGATCAGCTCCGAGCTGCAGGGAGGAGGAGACGGGGTTGACAGAGGAAGGAATTTGGGGCTAAAGGTCTGGACCTTTCAAAGAAGCCTCAGGATCATTCATCCCTTCCCAACAACCAGGGCAATATCCTCACTCCACCAAAGTGGACAGCAAAACTCCCATTGACTTCAGTGGGGTCAAGATTGCACCCTCTGACTTTGTTTACTTGCCTTTTCAGCTGTGGGAAATGCCAGTGGCACTGAGACAGCAGCATTAGCGTTAGGTACAATGATCTGGTATTCATTGTAATATCACCAGTACTGATTATAAAAAACCCTTGGCATTAGTATCAAGGCCTGGGGATTTCTATAGGGTTCCCAGAGTCACTTAGCAGCCCCAGCATCTCAGCTCAAGCAGCATTTTCAAGCATTACCAAAAAGGCCTTGGAGCCTGACCCCAGAGCAAAACTCTCCCCACCTCCCTATCTGCCAGATTGGGCCTGTTGGCTTCAGTGAGATCAGGAGCAAACCAAAACATAAACCGTTTCCAAGCTGAGCAAGTCGTCTTACTGCCACAGCCATTGGAGTGGGAGGTTTCTCCTCACACGTGATGAGAAGACTAAAGACGCATGTTAGAACGCACCCCAATCAAGGGCCCAATCCCACAGTCTTTCCCAAGGCCAAATTCCAAATGACCTCAAGGGGAATTTTGCTCCAGCAAGATCAGGCCCATGATCTGCAGCTGGTGTAAATCAGTGGAGCTCTTTTGAAGTCAATGGAGCTGATTTACACCACCAGAGGGTCTGTCCCAGACTAAATTCTAACACTAAAAGCCAATCTCCGCTTAGCTGGTAAGGTAGAGAAACAAAAGTCTGAGGAAGATGGCAAACAGCAATTAGCAGCAGTGCTAATGGAAAGCCCAGAAAGACTAGCTCCTAGTCCCAGCTGCTGTGTGTAAATCCCACTAGACTCAACCCCCAGAAGAATAACTATCCTATATTCACTTGTTAGGTTAAGAGCCCAATCCTGCAGTGACTTCACTGGGAACTGGGAGTACTCAGAACCTCATGGGAGGTGCTCAACACCTTGCAGAATTGGACTCCTGGACCTTGGGGTTGAGAGACTATAGGGGCCTGATGCTTCCCACACTGAAATCACTGGAAGCTCTGTAAACTGACTTCAAAAGGAGCAGGAATAGGGCCTAGTAATATGCAAGTTTCAGGGTCTGATTTAAAAGGACTATGGTTCTGGGCCCAATCCTGCATTCCTTACGCTCCCAAAACTTTCATCGACTTCAGTAGGGACTTTGGTTGCACACGGGATACAGAATTGGGCCCTCAAGAAGCATAACTAACCCACCCGAGCCCCCCGCAACACCACAAATGACCAAACTGGACTCCACGACACAAGGTGAAGCCCCGATCCTTGCCCTTCCTTGGGGGTATTTGCAAACATGAGAGTCTCTACATTTAAGCTGAATTCCATTTCCTGGCCTGAAGTTTTAAGATTTGGGGCAAACCTCTCGTCCAGATGGGAAACTGCACTGCAAAAAGGTTAGATTGCACGCAATTTATTTTGAGTTGGTCGGAAAATTCCATATAATACATAGCTCTTTGTCTAAATATATAGGGTGAAATGCTGGCCCCAGTGAAGTTTGTGGGAGCTTTGCAATTGACTTCAATGGGGCCAAGATTTCACGCATGGCATCTATATTGTAAAGATATACTGCGTGTGTAATGTTCTTTCACATGAAATAATTCCACTGAATCGATGAGAGTACTCATATAAGCAAAATTTACACATATGACCATGCATTTACAGGATCAGGATCTATATGTATGTAAGAGGATGATATTCTGGTAAGATAAATGCTAACAAACATGTTAAAGCGTAAGGAGTTGTCCAGGTCAACTTTTATATGACATGAAAATAGAGCACAGCAAATTCTGTCCTTGAAATATATCACTAATATCACAACTGAACTATCCTTATATATGGAAGATGTGGAAATTATGTCTGTAACAAATTAATAGCATTATAAATATTTACAATGCACCTATCAAATATGAAATTTATTTTTATTATTATTATTAAGCTATGATTACCATGCAAAATAGATATAGGTATAACATATACATTCATTTGTCAATGCTTGCATAATATTTCAATGGTTTTAAAAGAAATATTTACTGTATTTGTCAGGTGTGTGTATATATGTAAAAGCAGTACAATATACGTAATACATTTGTAATACAGAAATACGTTTGTAGGTAAGTTTACAATATGATCATTTTCTTTCCAGTAGGAACATTTCCTTTCATTATTTTGCCCAAACTATTACATTTTTCTGATACTCCGGTTAATCAATGCACTTTAAGGATTTTGATTAAATATCCCTCCCCCACCCTTTCTTATCTGCATCCAAAAAATTCTTGAAAATTGATCAGAAAATCTGCACACCAAAAATTTGCAAATGATACAAAATTAAATTGCTTCTAATGGGTGGGGGTTGTTATGTTTTTTCTTTACTTTTCGGGGGGCAGGAAGGACTAGGGTGCAGGAAGGACTAGGGTGTTGGTGGAAATATTTTAATGATTTCAAAGCATATCTCCTGAAGTCTTCCTCATCTGTATCTGATTTCTGTTTGTGGCAATTTCTCATCCTTCAAGCCATGAATCAGTTTGGGGGGAAAAGGGGTGGGGAGAAGAAGCAAAAATCTGGTCTTGATAAATCAGGAAGAAAATGCAGCAGGTTTATTTTTTATTTAATTCAGAGAAGAAGAAAAGTTTTGCAATTGCAACAATGCCTAGCAGTTTGCAACTTTATGTGGATGAAAAGTGCTTTGGAGGGTGTGTGCGGGGGGTTACTTACCATGAAGTCGACTGAAGGAAAATCCCATAAGGTCCTTGGCTAGAAGCTCCAAGGGAAGCCAGCAGATCAATACAGATCACTCTCCGAGGACAGAAATTTCAGATTGCCCCAGCAAATCAGCTACTAAAAAGAACTGGGATCTTCCCTCAATCTCCTCAGAGGAGAAAAAAAAAACAAAAAAACAAGGAGCAAGCCAAACTCAACACCTCAGATCTGTATCCTCTCCAAATAGGGAAATGGGGGGGGGAGAAAATATATCTGCCCCCTCTAGAAGTTTATAACATCCTCATCCCCAGCAGCAACAGCATCCTGGAGTGCAGGGAATCCAGAGGGACTGAGAAGGTCAAAATCCTCGCAAACCCAGAAGTGCAGAAACTTCCTCCGCCACAAGCCAACAGGTAGGAAAGGAGCAAAAATAATTATGAATAATAACAAGTGGCTGAGAGCCTGGGTGAGAGCCTCAGTCAGGCAACAGAATCCAAAAGGTGCAGAAGGTTCAAGCCCATCCAAACAGAATTTCACAATCAACTGGGGAGGGGGGAGGTTGGACAGGAGGAAAAAAACTTTCCAGAAAAAAAATCAGAGGAGCCCCAGTTCACTCCAGTTCGCTAGCGTGAAAGGCAAGAGCTGGGCTGGAAAGGCTGCAGAAACCCCCAGCCAAAACCAAACCCCAGTCGAGAAAGGTAATGGGGCTTGTGAAGCTCAACCTAGTACTGGAAGGATCCAGCCCCTCCAAGGCATCTGCTCCCAAAGATTCCCTGCCCACGGAGAAATGCCAGAGAGGCAAGGAAGCCCACAGCAAATGGCAAACTCCACTCTAGTGCAGAGAGCTCTCTGTCCCCTCCTGGCTAGGCTCAGAATGGAGACAGCAGCACTGCACAGGAAAATCACAATCAGTCTGTCTCTCTCTCTCACACAAGCAGAGCAATTCCAGGCTGCCTTCAGTAAGGAAAGGGGCTTGACTCTGAGAGGATCTGATTATATTGTACTAGACAGGAATGAGCAAGCAGGGACAGGAAAGATTTAAAGTGCCCTCAGCCCAATTTCTTAGAGGTTTACGCTTCTCTCTCTCCTCTGCAGCTCACCCTGGAGAGGGGCCAGCTGCAGCTAAGCTACAGGGCCAGAGATCATCTGAACACTCCAAAAAACACTGAGAGGGTGTGTTGTTGTTAGTGGTTTTAATTTGACCTCAGACTATTTGTTTTTAATTTGTAGAGATCCCCAGCCACCTCCTCTGTCGTCCCCCCTCCTTTTCCGAACATGCTCTTCCCTGACCTCCAACCAGAGATTACTAACTCCAATCCAGTCCTTTATTCGTGCTCCTCTCCCTAGCCACCACTCAGACTCGCTAGCTCCAGCAACAAGAAGAGACCCCTCTAAGGAGGAGGGTGGTGTAGATTACTGATGAGTCCAGTTTTTCAATGTGTCTGGGATGTTAGAGATCCAGTTGACTTGATCCAGTTGTTAATTAGTAAGGATTTAAAAATAAAAGTTTGGAAGGAGTATAAACTGCCCTACTTTGAGGCATAAACTGTCCTCTCTACTTGGTGGGGGTGAGGAAGAAGCTTCCCTTATAGAGGTAGGTCATTCTATAGCTGCCTATTCTACCTCTCTTGGAGGCATCTGGTTTTGACCACTGTCAGAGTTAGGATATTGGACTAGATGGACTGCTGACCTGATCCACTTTGGCGATTCCTACGGTCCTAATTCTCTGGGAGCATCATCATAAGGGATCCCTGCCAGTGAGATCGTGAGAGCCTCCTCATGGACCTCTTTGAACTTGGCACCATTTTATGGTTTAGCTGATGAGATGGCCTTGGCTTCTTATGGTACAATCAAGAGTAGGCTCAGTTTAATACCTGTTATGTCCTTTCTCTGTGCACTGTTTCTTGCCAATGCAGGCCTGAGCTCCACCTAAAACTTAGGTCGACTTTGCTACATTGCTCACACCCTAAGACAGGGGTGGGCAATCTGTGGCTCCAGACCCACATGCGGCTCTTCAGAAGTTAATATGCGGCTCCTTGTATAGGCTTCAACTCTGGGGCTGGAGCTACAGGTGCCAACTTTCCAGGGTGCAGGGGGGGGGTACTCAATGCTCAACCCCTGGCTCTGCCCCCACTCCACCCCTTCCTCTCCCCCCCCCAGAGCCTCCTGCATGCCATGAAACAGCTGATCAGGAGGTGCTGGGAGCGGGGTGGGGGAGCTGATGGGCGGCTGCTGACATATTACTGTGGCTCTTTGGCACACATTGGTAAATTCTAGTTCCTTCGCAGGCTCAAGTTGGCCACCCTTGCCCTAAAAGATGTAGTTAAGCTGACCTAAGCCCCCATGTAGACACTGCTAGGTCGACAAAAGAATTCTTCTGGTGACTAGTTACTGCCTCTCGGGGGGGGTGGGGGGTGGATTTATTACAGTGATGGAGAAACCCCTCCCATGACCACAGCGGGTGTCTACACAGCAGTGTTATAGTGGCGTAGCTGCAGCTGTGCTGTTCTTGCACTTGTATAGACGGACCCTCAGTGATCTGAAAAGGTGTTTTCTCTGTCTAATGTGTATGATTCCCTTCGTTTAGGTAACACCCTCATGATTTAATGACAATACTCTTTCTTTGTGTGGCACCTTTCCCTGGGGGATCTGCAAATGCTTTGCACACATCAATTAGTGAAGTCTCACAAACTGGGGGCTCTTGTTATCATTATTCTTATCATTTATAGGGAGAAAAGGAGGTATACAGAGAACATAAGAACATAGGACTGGCCATACTGGGTCAGACCAAAGGTCCATCCAGCCCAGTATCCCTTCTGCCAACAGCGGCCAATGCCAGGTGCCCCAGAGGGAGTGAACCTAACAGGTAACGATCAGATGATCTCTCTCCTGCCATCCATCTCCACCCTCTGACAAACAGAGGCTAGGGACACCATTCCTTACCCATCCTGGCTAATAGCCATTAATGGACTTAACCTCCATGAATTTATCCAGTTCTCTTTTAAACCCTGTTATAGTCCTAGCCTTCACAACCTCCTCAGGCAAGGAATTCCACAGGTTGACTGTGCGCTGCATGAAGAAGAACGTCCTTTTGTTTTAAACCTGCTGCCCATTAATTTCATTTGGTGGCCTCCAATTCTTATATTATGGGAACAAGTAAATAACTTTTCCTTACTCCCTTTCTCCACACCACTCACGATTTTATAGACCTCTATCATATCCCCCCAGAGTCTCCTCTAAGTGACTTGCCTAAAATAACCCAGCAAGTAGGTAGCAGAGATGGTAATATAAGTCAGCCACTGCAACTATGCCTGCTGGGAAATAACCTTAGGAAGCATCCTTTTGTTTTTGCCTACACACAGCTTTGATGGACTCGGTCTGACCATCAGTTTTCAATGTTAGTTTTAGATGTCAGTAAATTTTACTGAGACTTTGCAACCTATTTAGGGTTGCCAATTCCAGCTGGATGAAGTCAGGGAGGTTTCCTTGCATGACATAATCTTTAATTAAAGAATCCTCTTTAATTCCTGGAGACTCCAGGACAACCCTGGAGCGTTGGCAACCTAAACCTAGTAAGAGCAGTATTTCTATGGTCTTATTATTCTCTTATCTTTGTGCTTACACCATGCCCATCACTGTGGTACCTGATTTGTGGTAGGCATGTAGGATCACGGTTAGCTGTACAGGGGTATTAGGAACTCTCCATAGGAAAACTATGGTTGCGAGGAGGCCTGTTGCTGGCTTCCTGCCCATTCATGGTCTTCGCTTTGTTTTATCACTAACCCTGTAACCGGAGTTCAGACTTAAGGTGAACACAGGGGAAGGGGAGGCAGGAGTTCTGGATGCTGTTGCCAGCTCCGCTAGTGGTATCTACTTGCTTGGTTATTTTAGGCAAGTCACTTACGCTCCATATACACCTCCTCCAAATGCACCCAGACGACATGGAGTTGGTTTTGGTTTGCTCTGTTAGATTACAAAGCATTAGAATAGTTCACTCTGTTGTTTGCAGTGTTTGAAAAGCAGGGGATAGTACCCCGCTGGGACAAGAGTGCTAGCCGTTCAAATAAAGGTAATACGAAGAATCTCAAGAACAACAGATCAAGATACCAATAGTCAATGCTAGAAGAGATTGTCACAAAAATGCTGCTGATAAAAAGAACTGATTTAGTAGCCAAAGGGAATACAGTAAATTTGGGGAAAGCCATTCAGCACAGTGTATCAATGTACAATGTTGGCTAGATCCCAAATCGATAAGAATACTATAGCACTGATGTAAAATTATCCGAGGGAAAGATTATGAAGAGGCATTAATAGTTAGAACCTCAAATAGAAGGACTGTAGTAACTAGGGTCCCAATAGGGCACCATACTGTGACCCATGCAATTTAATCTTTTCATCATGAATTCTTATAGGGGAGATTTTCAAAAGCTCCCAAGTGCACTAAATCCTTTAGAGGCTTTTGAAAATCTCCTTCTAAATCAGCACTGACCAAACACGAACATGCCAGCATAACCAAATTCAGTGGGGTAGCAAATACACAAAACAATAGCCCTTACATTCCAAAATACTCTGAAAAGATTGAAACTGCAAGCAACATCATGAGATGTAATACCAGTTCAAAGATACCAAAAAACTTTTATTAAAACAATTAAGGCTCCTAAAGACAAATAATACCCAAATCAGTCCCATGAAAACCAGAGTAAAGTCATCCAATTACAGACCTCATCTCCTCACACGCACACTGTCACCCTCTCCCAAACACAACTCATCCACACTGCAAGCAAATCAACAGTTACCAACTGCTGTCACCACAGTGACACGCTGACAACCTTAACTCTGCTCCTCTGTGGACAGAGTCTGTATTTACTAGTCTGTGTGATTTTGGCCTGGGCATTATTTGTGCTTTGGAACTTCACATGTTTTTAAGGAGGTTTTTAATTTTTGTACTATGATACATGTGAACTATACTGTGTTGTTATTGGCAAGGTGTGTGGATGTGTTGTGTGGTTTGCAGAGTAATTGTAGCAGTTAGAAAAGGGAGAAATACAGCAAATTTGTAGATTTGTGCACAGCATACCACAGAAGATGGAGTTAAAGCTGTCTAGGTCGGAAAAAAACTACAAGAGGGTTTGCATGGGAGCACAAGATGGCTGCCTGCCTTAGCTCATGGAACATGCCTCGGTCACCATTTTCCTTTCCTCTTGGCAGTTCAATACTGAAGCTGGAAACAGAAGATAGTCACATGGGGCCTGATCCAGCGCCTGTAAAAGGCAGCAGGATCCTGCCCTGATTTTAGTCAGACATTGGATCAGACCCATTGACTTGACTAGTATTAATGAATGTGCCTCCTTGAACTCGGCAGCCCTTCACTCACCACTTCCCCATTCCCCTTATGCTCATGTGGCCTAAATGTTCCATTGACAGACCATGCTGATTATTTTGAAAGCTGAGCAGCAAAATACACTGATTCCTAAGATCCAGCAGTTGATTCTCACACCCACACGTGAGGTCACATTCGTTAGGCCTCTTGTTTTTCCCCCATGGACACTCCTGGTTCATGCAGGATTGTTCAAATGTGTACATATCCCCGCACAGCATAGAATATTAGGGTTGGAAGAGACCCCCTAGTCCAATCCCCTGCTCAAAGCAGGACCAACACCAACTAAATCATCCGAGCCAGGGCTTTGTCAAGCCGGGCCTTAAAAACCTCTAAGGACGGAGATTCCACGGCGTCCCTAGGTAACCCATTCCAGTGCTTCACCACCCTCCTAGTGAAAAAGTTTTTCCTAATATCCAACCTAAACCTCCCCCATTGCAACTTGAGACCATTGCTCCTTGTTCTGTCATCCGCCACCACTGAGAACAGCTGAGCTCCATCCTCTTTGGAACCCCCCTTCAGGTAACTGAAGGCTGCTATCAAATCCCCCCTCATTCTTCTCTTCTGCAGGCTAAATAACCCCAGTTCCCTCAGCCTCTCCTCATAAATCATGTGCCTAATCATTTTCGTTGC